TAATTTTAAATGGAGCTGCCGCCTATTTATTTATTTTAAAATCAATTCAGTTAACAATATAAGCTATATTTGTAAAGTATTTTTGTAGAGGGTTGTCACCTGTTAAAAAAGTTAACAAGTTAAATAAATTATTCTGTTATGGGTGAAACGGTAGAGGTTTTAAGAAAGCTTTTCTATATCGAAAATATTTTTTCACGAGCATTGCCACTAGTTCAGGGATTTTAAATCATTTTGTTTGACAAGTGTGTAAGTGAATTCATATAGCAAACTTTTAAAGAGGGCTGCCACATGTCTAAAAAGAAAAACCTATTTTAAATTATAATTTAAAAAAAAAATCACAATAATGATGCCAAACGAACCAGATTTATAAAAGCTTTTTTAAGAAAAGATTTTAAGGAAAAATTGCCACCTATTTAAAAGTTTAAATTCAATGTTTCTAATAATTTAACTAATTAGTGCAAGAAAGCTTTATTTTAAAAATATGATTTAAAGGTCAGATACTGTTTTTTCAAAAGTCTTCATAAAATTGTTTTAAAAGGTGTTTAAGAATTCTTTATATTGAACATATCTGTCTTACTAAATTTATTGAATATGGATATCAAACAAAACAGTTTGGAAAGAGGTTGATTTCGTTAATATTTTAAAGAGGGCAGTCACCTGTTTAAACTTTGAATTCAATTTAATTAATAATTATAACATGGAAGACGAACGCAAGATGTTTATGAAAGCTTTATAAATTTTGAAAACAATTTTCGCCTATAAAAAAAAATTAAAAACTTTATAGATTTTAAAGATATTTATTTTATTATTGAAATATGCAAATTAGTTGAAACCCAGCATATTGACCATGTTCTGGAACTCCGAGATAATAAGCTACTTTTTTTTTAATTATAATAATAACTAAAACAAATTTTTTTTCCGTGATATAAATTATGCATTATCTTTTATGTTGCACTCGAAATCATAATGTCACAAACAGTCAGAGCATACGCGTCTTGGCACCCACGTCACCGTTGACAGTTACAAGTTTGAAAAAGTAGACGACTTCGTTTATTTGGGAACCAGCATTAACACCAATAATAATGTCAGCCTTGAAATCCAACGGAGAATCACTCTTGCCAACAAGTGCTACTTTGGGCTGAGTAGGCAATTGAGAAGTAAAGTCCTCTCTCGTCGTACAAAGATCACACTCTATAAGTCACTCATCATGCCTGTGCTGGTGTATGGCGCGGAAGCATGGACATCTGATGAGGCGGCTCTTGGAGTTTTCGAGAGAAAGATTCTGCGAAAGATTTACGGACCTTTACGCGTTGGTGATGGCGAATATCGCAGACGATTTAACGATGAGCTGTATGAGCTTTACAACGATATAGACATAGTGCAGCGAATTAAAATTCAGCGGCTCCGCTGGCTTGGCCATGTCGTTCGGATGGACAGAAACGCTCCTGCTCTGAAAATATTCAACGCGGGCCGCGATGCTGGGAACAGAGGAAGAGGAAGGCTTCCTCTGCGTTGGAAAGACCAGGTGCAGAAGGACTTGGCTTCACTTGGCATTTTCAATTGGCGTCAGTTAGCACAGAAGAGAAATGACTGGCGTGCTGTTTTGGACTCGGCCAAAATAGCTTAGGCGGTTACAGCGCCAAATAAGAAGAAGATTTTAAATTATAAGTTAAAAAAAAAATTCACATTATTGATGCCAAACTAACCAGATTTATAAAAGGCTTTCTTAAGAAAAGATATTTAAAAAAAATTGCCACCTATTTAAAAATTTAAATTCAATGTTGCCAATAAATTAACTAATTAGTTCAAGAAAGCTTTATTTTAAAAATATGACTTAAAAGTCAGGTACAGTTTTCAACAAATTATTTTAAAAGGTGTTTAAGAATTATATATATTGAACATATTTTTAAAAGACGTGCGACCTTTTGAAAAGTCTTACTAAATTTATTGAATATGGATATCAAACAAAACACGTTGGCAAGAGGTTTAATTCGTATATGTTTTGAAGAGGGCGGCTGAAAGCTTTATAAATTTTGAAAACAATTTTCGCCTATAAAAAAAGGAACAGTCCAGCGCCTACGTCTTGGTCTGCAGGCTGTATCGGAGATACAGCCGATAAATTTAAACGTAGAATACGTGCTATGGTTAAGAGCATATCCAAGTCAAAAACGAAAGCACACTATAAGAAAAAAAATATCGATAGCAAAATCGATAGAAACATCTATAAAAATATCGATAATAATATCGACAGCAAAATCGATAACTAAATCGATTACAAAATCTATCAAAGAATCGATTACAAAATCGATAACAAAATCGATAACAAAACCGATTATAAGTCGATAACAAAATCGATAAAAAAAACGATGAAAAATCGATAGCAAACTCGACAAAATAATCGGTAACAAAACCGATAAAAAATATCGATAACAATATCGATCATTATATCGATGAGTTCTGAAAATGTCGATAGCAAAATCAGTAACAATATCGATAATAAAAACGATAAAAATATCGATCACGAAAGCGATAATATCGATAGCAAAATCGTTAACAAAATCAATAAAAAGATCTATAAAAATATCGATGCCAGATTCGATTAAAATATCGACAACAAAATCTACAAAAATATCGATAACAAAATCAGAAAAGGTTTCGATAAAAAAATCAATCAAAATATCGATAACAAAACCGACAAAGTATCGATAAGTCTCGAGATTACCCAAAATCTCTAAAATCCCGAAATAGTTCCGAGATTGAGTCTCTGTGCCTTTATCTATATCCTTTTCTCTACAACTACCTTTATTTTAATCTTTCTTCCTCTATCTTCATCTATACTTTTATCGGTATCCTCATCCGCATCTTTTTCTTTATATTTGTCTTTGTTTTTATTTTTATGTTTATCATATTCTTCATATACATATTCCCCTTCACCTTTGCACTTATACATATAAGTAAAGTGTTTAAATTTACCTTGGTCTTCATGTTTGCCTCTATCTTTACTCAACTTTGTTTTTGTGTTTATTTTTACCTTGGCCTTTATCCTTTTCTTTATCTATGTACGTCCTCACCTTTACTTTTATTCTTGGATAGGACTTTTTCTAAATGTTGTTTCACTTCGAAAAGTCTTCGCGTATTATGCATACATGTGTTCATATATGTATGTACATATATAATATGTATGTACATATGTATGTATAGACATACATATGCAGATTACTAAAAATAGAAACAGATCCACATTAACTGCAATCAACATATGTACGTATGTATGTATTTACATATGTACACACGCTGTGATTAGGTTATAAATAGCGCGTCTCTGTTTATCAAAAGCCGCATTACATACGCATACATACTTTTTGTCTCCTTCCCACACTTCCAACATATGCACGTGTTTGCAAAATGATGACGAGGTGATTTTGTATGGAAAATCATTTATGCCCATATATTTGAATAAAATAAACATATATAGAAGATATCAACCAATACTTCCCATACACCAAACGAAAGGAAAACTCTTGAATTTTTGATTAAAGAAAACAAAAACAAAATCATTCGAGCGGTTTTCGAGCATTTTGGTAATGAAAAAAATTTGCAAATTTTTTCAACAATTTTTTGCCTTAAAATGCTCAATATTTGTTAAATTTATATAAAATTTGTACCCGATAATACTTCTCCTGCTCCAAAGAACCTATATCCCGAAAATGAAAGTTATATATGCCAACAATAAGTTGCTAGAGCACTTTAAAGGCTCAAAATTGACCCCAAAATAAGGCAATGTTTACCGTTGTTTTTACGACAGAAACCGAATTGGTTATTTACAAAAATGAATCTGTTGACAGGTTTGGAATTTTATCTTTGAAACGCCATGCTTTTCTTTGAAATCGCTTTATTAGTTCTCGTGCAATAAGCGTTTTTGTGAAGCTCTAAAAATTACAACTACAACATTTGAACATAACCCCCATACCTTAAGGTAAGACGTATTCTACGTCAAAAATTAAAAACTATAGATTTTAAAGATATTTTTTTTATTATCGAAATATCCAAATTAGTTGAAACCCAGCATATTGACCATGTTCTGGAACTCCGAGATAATAAGCTACTTTTTTTTTAATTATAATAATAACTAAAACAAATTTTTTTTTCCGTGATATAAATTATGCACTATCTTTTATGTTGCACTCGAAATCATAACGTCACACCGAGCTTCAGGCTTTGGGCGCAACTGCGGCCAAAAAAAACTGTACTAAAATCTAATTGATACTCCATACACATCTTCATGTTTAACAACATTTTTTATGCTTAAAACATAAGCACGAACATATTACTCTTCGATTCGAAAGATGGCCTCATACCATTAGGTATTGTTGATTAAAAAAATATATATTACAACTTTTTCTTTAAACGCTGCTATGATTACGATGCCGCTGTTGGTGAGATTGAGAAATTGCTTCGCTGCGTCATTTATATTTACGTGCGTGCGTGCGTGGGTGTTGCGCAAACTTTTTTAATATATTGTACAACCAGCAATGGCTTGTTTTGGTCGACGCCAGCTTGCCACGATGCCATAACTTCAGCTGAACTGAAATTTGCTCACAATTTTTTTTTTTATTTGTTGGCTTGGTAGCACATGGCTTTTTTCACTGAAGTGATTTTTAATATTTACGAACGTAGCTTTGTAGGGACCACGCGCAGTGGCAACGTAAGTAAGTTATGCAATATAAGTGCATACAAAAGCAAATGGTTATGTAAGCTCTAAAAGCTCTGAAAGTATAAGTTTAATTAAAAGCGCATTTACAATATTTAAGTTTTACGTTTATACAGGGTTAATGTTGCGCAACATTATATCTAGGCTTAGAAACATTACAAATGTCTCGATTCCTTCACAACGTTGACATACAAGCTTACAATAATCGAAAACTAATTTGGTCTTATTTGAGTTGATATTTTTTGTATCTTTTAATTTTGTAGTTAGTAAATTTAAATTTGTAACTCACCGTAGTTGTTGCTGGTGTTGTAGCTGTATGTGGTGTATAGGCTGCGTATGCCGGTTGCGGCAATGGAGCTGTATATCTGTAGGCTTGTTGGGCGACAGCAGCAGCCGCTGCAGCAGCAGCTGGAGCGTAACCTTGTGGAGTCCAACTGGCACCGCGATACGGAGCACCTGCTAAGCCGCCTGCTGCTGCTGGACTAGTCATAGCTGGCCTGGGGGCCCCCTTTAAAGCGACCGCAGAAGTTGGTGGTGGGGCACCAGGAAAGGCGGTACGCGGTGGTGGTACTGTGGAAGAACTTCCCTGTAATTAGAGAAAACAAAAATTGGGGAATAAGTAAGTTTTTTTTTTAATGTAAAAAAGCGATGGCAAAAATAGTTTAAATATGAATGTGTTAGATTTGAAAGATTATTTATATGGCAAGAATAGTAGATTTCTAAATTAAGCAAATTAAAAAAAAAAATAAATTTTATATAGAGTATCTCAGACTTTGTTTATCGATACTAATACGACGAATAAGTTGAAGCAGAAAGAATTCTGGTGTTGGTATCTTAACACGTCGAGGGCGCAGAATCTCATCGTGGTCAAGGCCGTAAGGGAAAATCACCCAATCGCTCCAGAAGTTTCAGCTAGAACGCTATCATATTAAAAGGCCTGAAGATCTTAAGTCTACTGAAGACATGCTTTATAACTTTTGGCGTAAATATGCTGCTCTTGCCTTTTTAAAATACACATATGTATACATACATACGTGCGTTTTCGTACGAATACCCAAAAAGCGGACTCTTCCTGGCCAACATGGACAGCCCACGGCAGAGATGCGGTAACCAATCCATATATCCGTGGTTGTGCCTATTTGTGGTTTTGCGTAGGACTCATGCCTATTGTAAGCGGATGGCCAGGCACCGACTCTAAATAAGATCCCAACCAGGATGGGTGCCCTCGTGCAAGGCTGGGAACTCACGGAATGGTGGCGGGTGTATTTTTAACTCATGTGGACGGGGCTCCATTGTAGAATTTACATTTTTTATTTGATATATATGTATGCAGATAGATATATATGAAGGTATAGATTTCTTGAAAGTCATTAATTTTCTATCGGGTTAATCTATGTATTTCTCTTCAGCAGTTTTGCAATAATAATACTCATTTGTTTATTATACTATTTTTAAATACCAAAAATTTTTTTTTGGGTCCCCCCATTGCATTTTTGGGATTTTCGGGGGACCAATAAGAAATTTTTGGTCCCAAAATTTTTGTTTTTATTATTGAAAGTCTCTTGCAGAGAAAGAGAATTTTCCGGGCGAAACATATAGATTCTGTAGGAAACAGTAGTAGAGTAGGCATGTGCTTATACTTACACACTGTACCTAGACCTTAAGAGTTAGTTGTTAAGATGAAACTGTAACTAGACCTTAAGACTCATTACTCGTTTGTTTGTATACTAGTTTTATTATTACTCATTATGTCAATAACCGTTTTGTACAAGTGGAGCGCCATCTTAGAAAATAAAGAGATTCATTCGATTTTGTACAGCCACGCGGTAGCTTTTTTGACAAACCACTAAGACTCTGATACCATTGCAATTCTCAGAAATTCTATAACATTTCTATGAAAAATTTCCCTTTTTTCATGTATAATACATGGAAAACTTTGAGCGCTTTCCGTGACCTCTAAATATTTTTTTGATTTCAAAATAAAAAAACGGTGCTATATTTTTTTTTTCGGTAAAGATTAATCCCAGTGGCTGAGAGTATTCAAATTCCGACGTTAGCCTTTTTTTGGACCACCTTATTGTACATTCGGTTATGCTTTTTAATATAATAATTTAGTTTTTGATAACATATTTCGTTTTCAAGGAGTGAACGAATTGCAGTGACGTAGGTTGATTATTCCGTTGCAAATCACTTCCAAATGACATCAGTTGCATTGGCCTTCACAATGATAGCCGTCTCGTTGAAGCTACCAATAATTAAGCTAAAAGTGAATTAATTCAGAAAGTTTTTGAACTTGACGTGTACTTTGCTTTTGCTCTTCAATTGACTCACCACCATACTACGCTTAGGTAAGCAAGCGCAAACGTATCTACTTACACCTGGGGGTATTGAATAAGTTCACTTTTGTGTTCCATTTACAAAATGATTATTATTATTATTTTTTTGCAAGTGGTGAACTAATGTCTCGATCCTCTTTCGCCACAGAGCACCCACATTGTATTGAACTAAATTAAGCATTTCAATTATATTACGGGGTAAAATAACTACGACTCGTCATGTCCAACCCGTGACAAAAAAGTACAAAACTTCATATTTCGTAAGGTCCGATTATGGCAACTTAACTTAACTTAACGTAACTTAGAACATAGAAAATCAAAATGAAACAGATTTCGACGTGGCATTTAGTTACGTTAAGTTTCGCCCATTCAAATGTAAGCAATATTAATTTAAGACAATTTTTAAGTGATAGCCTCTAAGTTACGTTAAGGTGCCCTAATCAGATCTTTAGTTACTACTTTAGCGATTTTAAAATTTCATTTCTAGTTTATATTTTCCCTATATAGCCCTATGTCATATGTATATATAAAATACGCGAGGGGATTTTTTGTTCAGGATAAAAGATCAGCACCGTTCGCTCGATTTCCAAAAGTAGAGTGTCAAATTAAATTTTTTGAAGTGAGTTGCCACCTGCTTGAAATGTCGAATTTTGTTAACGTATCCAAAAGATATATGAAATGTCAAAATTTGGATATCAAAAGAAAGAGTGTTAAGAAGTCTTTAGTTTAAACATTAATAATACTTTTGAGGTATTTAGCGGGGTAGCCACATGTTTAAAAAATAAAATTCAACTAATTCATCAGTTAATTAAAATACGTGTCGCAATGTTAGAGGAAAAATATTTAAGAATATCTTAGCGCGAAACTACTTTTGAAGAGGGGTGCCACCTATTTAAAAAGTCAGATTAATTAACTTTTAAGCAAGTTAGTTGAAATATGAAGCGAAAGGGTGTTAGAAAAACTTGAGTTTGAACATTTAGAATGTTTGAAGAACGTTGCCACCTGATTATAAAGTGACATTCAATTTATTTAAGAAGTTGGACGAATTATTAAAAGATGGATGTCATCGAAATGATTTTGAAAAGGCTTTATTTCTGAAATATATGTAGGAGAGTTGCCACCTGTTTAAAAAATCAAACTCACTTAAATTAGGGCAATTACCTAATTCAAATATGTGATTTAAAATTTGTTAAGACAACTTTAGTTTGAACACTAGAAATATTTTTTGAAGGTTGCCACCTGTTCAAATACTCCAAATATTTAGAAAGTCAAACAAATTATTAAAATATGGGTGTCAATCGTAATGGGGTTGAAAAGGCTATATTTCTAAAATATATTTAGGAGGGTTTCCACGTATTCTATAAGTTGTATGCAAATTACTTAATTGTTGTTCATTGAATTTTAAGTTAATTGAATTTTTAAAGGATGGATATCAGTCGATAATGGCTTAAAAAGGCTTTAAGGTAGGTTTTGCAAGTCACTTCCAAATAAATTAAACATTGTACAAGTTTAAAATTTGATAACATTAAAAACCTACTATGCGAAACGGCTACACGGATTTAGAATAAATATGACACTAGAATCGCTTATACCTTACTAATATTTGGAATTGTTTGTAGGTTTTTTAAATTCTATCTTGGGCATTTTAACGCCGTGCGGGTTCACTAGTTTCTATCATTAGTGCTCAATTAAAAAATTTTGAAGCGTTTTATCGTCTCCAGGCCGTGACATCTTTAATTTTTCTCTAACAGTGCAGCCTTACAATAAAAAAACCTTTAGGCTTTACTTTTTTTTCATACCTCCAAACAAACAAACCGAGTTAAAAAACTCAAAAAAACATTGCTTAATAAAAAAACCAGTTGAACATTTAAATCTTTGGAATTCAGGTTTACTAAAACTTTTTGCAATTTCCTATGGCACAATGACTCTTTCTGGGCTAAACAATGTAGTAAAAGATGTCGCGTTGTCAGCTCAAAATGTAGACGCTAGAGACATCCTTGATAACAGTGGGTTGCTTAGCAATAGGTGGGATACTGCTTTTGGCATTCGATGAGTCCGTACTAACAATTACCTCAAAATTTTCAACCAAGAAGATCGAATTTATTAAAATAAATAGCCTTTGAGTAACGAAGCTGATATACATACCTAATATGCATGCATATATACTCGGCCAGAAGCTCTCTAGACAAAGCGCTGATTCCGTCTAGAAACTGGCTAGATTACCGTAACTGAGATTTTCTTGTCAGAGCGAAACCAGTTTCTGTCATGGAAATACCTTTTATAAATCTATAATCTATTCTGCCGGTACTGGCACTATCACGCAGTATCTTGACTTGGGTAACCAGTTCAGGTGCTAGATAATTTTCTCTAGTACGCTTGCGTTGACAGCACCAAGACAGTATCTGTCATGCGACAGCTTTAAAAGGGTAATCTTCACGGGCACAGGATAGGTTGACCTGAATCTGCTTAGAGCTGCACTGGCTACATAATAATAGCTCCTCTTGAGATAATCGCTTTTGGTGTTGGGTAGGTTTCCTTAACTGTGATACTTTTTAGCAGTGCCTGGACTGACTCTATCCTAAAAAATCATACATAGCTGGAGTAGTTAGCCAATCATGTCGCTGGCAAGTATTTCCTGAAAAGGGGTTTTACTGATACCGCCATGACAAGCTCTTGCCAGTCACAGCCATGCAATAACGACTAACATTAAAAGAAAATTTTTCCCATCAGCAGTCGTCCATCGACATGAAAAACCTCGGAGTGTATTCGGCATGAAAAACATACTCTTACGAAAAAGCAATCGTAGTTCGGAGTCGGCGTACAATTGTTATTATTAATTTAGACAAAAATGTTAAGTAAGTTCATAGACTTTCCGTAAAATATATCTGAGCAGGGTTTTTTTTGTCCTACGGGTAACTGTGCCTTAGATGGTCCAAACCCGGTTTGAGAAAACAGGAGGGGAGACAGGGGGCGTGGGTGTTTCCAGGGTACGGGCTTGACGACCCCGTCTACCCCAGTCAAAGGCTACCAGTCCCGAGTCGGTGGAGGCTCAACTGGTAGAAATGTCTACGGCTTTCGAAGTCTTACCAGAGACTTAAAACTTGGCACCGCGTCGAACAGATGCCCCTGGAGTGTGTTCGTTGACTAGATAAGCACAGCCGGTGAGACGAACAAGGCCAAAAGACCGGCCAAATGCACATGTAAGATCGTACAGCTGGTGAGATTTGCAAGGAAGAATGTGGCTCGCA